GATTTTATGGGAATTTTCTAAATAAGTAGAAGCAATTTCACCGGTAACTTACAAAAAAATTCAAAGAGGGAAGAGTAGGGTATATGGTTAGCCTCGGGATCAAGCTAACTCAGTCGATAAAGAAGCTAAGTTGAAAGGAAAATATTGAGTAATATGCACTAATTTTATATTCTAGAAACAGCTGAGTTATATAGCAAGCTAAAACAGTATATTGTAAGGTTTTTTTTTTTTTTTTGGTTAAAAATACAAATTTGGGTAAATTCAAAAAACAGTAATTTTTTTTCCTTTAAATGTGAAAATAATAATATTTTTCTATAAATGCTAAATGTATATATTTAAAATTGATTATTTATCATCATTACTTTCAACGTATGTTGAAGGCAAAATTTACGGTTACATTTTGTTTTTGACGCCTGTTATTTGAGATGTTATCAGTAATGATGACTTAAAAATGGAAATTATATTGAAATAAATATAAATTATACGTTTCAAACTTTTAATTATCTAAATAATATTAGAAATGTTTACAAAAATCAGTAGTAAAAATTAATGAAATATTAGTAATATCAAAGAATGATATAACATAAAAGTTGAATACTATAAAATCTAAGTGTCTATTTTTAATTTTAATAATTGGTTTTCCAATGTAAAATGAGTGTGAAATAATGTAAATTATCTGCCAATTTTTTTTTTACGCATGTTAAAAAATTAGAAATAAATCTCTGTTAATTATTATTTTTTCAATGCAAAATGAGTGTGAAATAGAGCAAATACGAAGAGGAAAAATCTTACTGGAATCGATGAATGTGTTCAATAGCCAGTGAGGAGGAATCGACGGTTGGATCTGGTAGCCGGTGAGGAGGAGTCGACGGCTGGGTTCGGAAACGACAGAGAAGACCGAGAAAAAAGAGAAGAACAGGCTAAGATAGATTCGGAAACGAGAGAGAAGACAGAAGAAAAGAGAATAATATGCAAAGATATATTTCGATGGTATCGATAAATCTCCGGCTGGTTTACAATATAAAGATATTTTCCATAAATATATTTCCATAAATCATACAATATCTCACATATTCCGTTTATAATAAATCTATTTTCAAACTTAACAAAAACATTTCCTTAAATTAAATTAGAGGATAAAAACGGATTTTACTTCAACTAATGCATAATTGGACAACACTAAACATTTTAAAGTGTATTGAGACAAATTCAATTTCAATGTGTCCCAAATTTCCAAATTTCCCTATTATATTATTAAAGTGATGTTGAGGAAGCATGAATTATAGTTTATGGTTAAATTTTATTTTCCTATAAATATAAAATTATACATTATCAATTATTTAGATCCTATTAGAAAGTAAGCAGAACTTGATTACTGGTCAAGAAAAAAATAAAACCATATTTATTATATCCATGAAAAGATAAGTAGAGTGGTATGAAAGATTAGTGTCTACTTTAATGTTGTGAAGTTAAACCAATTCTATTCCATGTAAAACTAAAGTGAATTTGCAAACAAAAACAGAGCCAAACTGCAAGAAATTTCTCCAAATTGCTATAAATCCGCAATATAGCCATCTGCTATATGTGTATAAAAATGTGTTTTTCAATTCTTCTTAAAACTATGTTGTTAATTAATTTTCTTAAGAGAATAAATTTTGAGAAATTTCAAAAAATATCACTTTTCAAGTGGCACTTTACAAAAATGTCACACTTTTGAAATCTTTACAAAAATGCTACTTTTTCAGAATTATTTTTTCTTTATATTATTTATGTTTGGGTTAATTATGTTCTATTAGGGTTTAGTTTTGAGTGTTTATGGGGTTTTATGTGTCAAAACATTTTTTAGGGTTTAAAATTTTAAGATATAGGCTTTATAAATCTATAATTAGTGATATTTTTGTAAATGGACACCCCTAAGTGGTATTTTTGTAAATATGCACACAAAAAGTGGCATTTTTGTAATTGCCCCATAATTTTTTAACACTAAAAAGGGATTTTATTAATATTTCAAGGTCTAAAACAAAGGAGGTTAATATAGGTCCCGAGGCATAAGAGAGTGATACCACTTAGGCATAGCGTAGCGTAACCTTCCTTTGATTCATATTTCGTAGACTTTCCACTGCTCAAAAGAAACTCCACGAATCTGAAAGCAACATTGGAGTATGATAGTCTAATGTTGAAAGCAACTTAGACCTGCATTGCCCGCTAGAGTCGGCTCTGTGTAGTTGTAGTTTGTACGCACGTCGTGGAATCCGTCATGCTTGTCGGGTCCAGCAACCATTGCTCCTTCAATCCTGTTTGGATTTTGTTTTTGCTCTCTCTCCATTTCCATCCTCCTTTGCAACTCTGTTTCTTTTTGTTCTTCGGAATTGAAGCTCCTCTGTGATGTACGTGTTTCGGGTATCGTTCCCCAAAACCTACAACATAACTCATCTTCCGAGGGTTTTTACCAAGTATGTAAAAAAAAAAAGAAACAAATTTTGATAAGATAAGGACATTTAATCATCTTTGTTTTCCATCATTTGTTCATTAAGAAGACGCGTACCTGCGATCTTGAAAAGTCCCGTAAGACATCAGTAGAATAGAAATTAGGNCCACAATACCATCCGGGAGTATCAGCAGCATCAAGATAGTCACTGTACAACGCCGCTAAGAAAGCCGCATTTGCAGCATACTGGAGAGGTTGTGGACCTCCATGATTCAGCTGGATCAAACCTCCTGTAGAGGGTAGGAAGATTATAAAGTTTTCACAAACAGAATGAAGGTAAAGTACCATAGACAACAACTTACCTTTGGTTCTGTTAAACTTGTTGAAATAAGGTAAGTAGGAACACATAACTATGTTGGTTTGATTATGAAAGTTGCTCAACATGTCTTCATATGGATATCCAGGGCTAAGAAACAGTCTCAACCGGCTCAACAACACCTAAAACACACATAAATCAAGAAAGTAAGCAAGAGGTGGTACAAAATAACAAAGGATGTCTCTTAGTCTAGCTAACCTGAGCCCCAGCAAGCTTGTTGTCCCAGCTAAATACGCCATAATAAGGGCCACCCGAGAAGGCACCAGCATTTTTGGCCAAAGCGTGACTGGTAACTCGATCAAGATAGGTTACGTTTCCAGTAGCAAAATACATCCAAGCACCACCCCATATAAGCTCATCCCAATACATGCTTGAGTTATAAAATTTGCTAGACTCTTGTGAATTTGGACTGTATCTACCTTTGCTAGACTTTGCAAACTCATGGAGCGTCTTAGCACCGTGAACAAGCTTTCGTGAGTATACTTTGTCGTCCTTGAATACAATGGATGCAGAAGCCAAAGAGGCTGCCATCTCCGCAGCAAGATCGGAGCAACTACTGTAACATATAGAAACAGGTCTTTGGTAATCAATGTCCTCAGGACGCATCCAACAGTAATGGTCATTAGGCACTACATTTGGTCCATCGGTATTTCCAGATCCGACCTGTGAAAAAACAAATGTTTATTATAACTGAAATGCACACATACAAGTATGAATTGGAATTTGCAATGAGTATAACCTGTGTGACCATTTGATAGATAGTATCAGCACTAGAATTAAAAGTCTTGAGAAAGTAGTCAGTTCCCCATTTGATGAGTTGTTTAACATGGTTGAGCTCACCGGCAGCTTCGTACTTTGCACTGTATTCAATAACACTCCAGCTCAACATGGTCATTGCAAAAGACATGGGGAAGTTGAATTTGATAGCATCTCCAGCATCGTAATAGCCTCCAACCAAATCTTTGTAAGAGCTCCCTGGAAAGTTTCCATCTTCAAGACAAGAATCACCCCTCCATGGCACATGGTTATGCTCTGGTAGCTTCCCAGCTGGAAACATGTTTGATTAAGGTTCTGAAACTGAAAAACAGAACAAGAGTGATCAATTGTTGAACTTACATTGTTGAGCATTGAAGAAGTTAAGAGCCTTGTGGAGAGTAAGTATCGGGTGGTGGTTTCTTAAAGTGGTGACGTGGGAGAGTTTTGACGATGAGAGTAACGAATCCAGCGAGAGAAGCTGTTAGTAGAATTGTTCCGAGAGACCAGAGAAAGATTTTGCGGCTGAGTAATACACAACCAAGATCGACGTACTTTTTCTTCTTGTGCTCGGTCGGTCCGAGTAACCAGCTCTGTTGCGTCTCGTCGACCGGTCTAGGTCCTGAAGATTTCGACTGCGATCGTCGTCGGTGGTCGAGTCCGCTGCATTGATCTCAAGGGGACCACCCCATGGGGTCACGCCCGTACATGCTTTGATCAGATCTGCTCCAACGTTACACTCTTGCTTTAGGGTTTGATGTGGAAAGTGACAGTGATGATGAACCTGACCTCAACACTCCCTAGTTTGCCGCGTGGACTCGGGGATTCTATGCCAGTGACTAAACGCAGAGCTTTTCCAAATCATATTAAATGAGTTCATATTTTGGTATAGCCACACATACACAACTTATATATATAAGAAAATAGCCCAATTCTATATACTTTTTCCAACCATAGAACCCAATACAAGTATTTTTCAATCATCGTCTTCTTCAACAGATTTTTATTTCACAGTAACAATTTTTTTTATTAGCTACAAGAACAATACATGATAAATGATAGTTTTAAGTAAATCAACATAGTTTAATTAAGCCTTTTAATAAAAAAATCCCCTCAACTATCCTCAGATCATGAAAAATCCCTTCAACTATTTTTTTAGTACAAAACTCCTCAACTATATTTCGTTATTGAAATCAACCCTCCGTCTACAATAACGTTTAATCCTAATAAAAATTATTTTATTTTGTTACAAAACGACAAAACGTCTTAAATATTGACCAAACCATCAAGTTGTTTACAGGAATACAACATAAAGTGAATCTTATGACAAAAAAAAAATTAAATCGTG